AGCAGTAACAGCTCAAAGTTTGGATAGGCAGATAGCCTGTGTGCCAGCACAGGAAGATGACTCCAGATGATCCACCCGTTCCCACAGACACCACAGCTGAAGTAGTTCAGATTCCAGCTGCTTACCAGTGAGCCCTGCCGAGGCAGATGCTCTCCACCTCTCTGCAGGAACTTGGATCAACTGTTCTGCAGCCTGGGCCTGTTCATTCCCTAGTCCAGGTGGAATACAGCAAATGAAGGCAAGGCAGAGGACTCTCGGAGCAGTGTCCAATCACACATAGAACACTAAGAGACGGATTCATCTACACAGAGGTTCTGTCTACAATAGGACTGCCAATACCAAGTCCATTTGCCTCAGATTTCCTGTACAGCCTGTGCAATCAATGCATTCAAGGCTGACCTGACACATCCTAGAGGAAAGGCTTTTATTAGGTAAGCTCAATCATGCATAAACCCCACCCCTGAACCAAATGAACTTCCCTTGACTACAGTGGGAGCCCAGATATCTCATTCAGGTGGACACACCCAGTCATAGCTGCAATGATTTCTACCATGAATGTCAGCAAGGAAGCCCATGTCTGACAAGGTACTTGACAGAGAATAGCAGGAGGCTGGTCCTGAGGGCATCTGTTCCCCCGTAGATGCTGAGCAGAAAGCTGATACATTATGGGCTCTCACAGGATGCAGGAGACAGATCACAGCCCAAATGACAGCTAAACACACCCAACTACACAGGTTTTATCTGGTGAGAGAAAAACGAACAATATAGGAAAGCTTTTTAAACCACAGGAGAAGACAAGACATAGAAGTTGGTGTAATCAAGAATAAAAAGTAACATACAGGCCACATGTCAGCTGGGACTATTATTAGCTAAAATTCCCTCAGCTAAGAGCTGCGACACTACCCTTACTATGCTACAAGCATGCGTGCTCTGGAACCTGTCCTGTCCAGATGCACCCCAGCAGTCTGTACAACACACACACACACAAAAAAAATTAGAATGACACAATTTCCCAAGTCCTGTTTTCCTCGCAGTTGAAACCCGGGACACAAATCTCAGTCCATCTAGTCAGGGTGACGAATTAGGTTTCACCTCACTAGTCTGAAACGTTCCAGGGCTGAGACCGTGCAAAACTAGGACCTTTTCTTAGCTAGGTTTAGCTATGAGTTCTGCAGACACTGAACACTGATATAACCATATTAATAAAAGAGAAGTCATCAGTAGACGTGACTTATAAAGGACAGTAAGACAAAGCTAGTCAGAAGTGCAAAAAGTGGTAACAACATATGGTACTTTGTCACTAGAGACGACAACAGGAAACAAAATCTAAACATCTTGAAACAGCTTGATTTCTGACACAGTGATAAACAGCCAGGTGCCTGCCACGGGAAATGTTCCATCTCCTTTCGCAGACAAGAATGGCCTTGGGAGGGGAAGCATTCCTCCAAACTGCCCAGGCAGGGGAAGGGAAGGTGATCTCCACTGCAGTGTTCATTCTCTTCAGGTCCCATCAAAGCACACTGGGATTTTGACCAGTTAAGGTAAAAAGCTGTGATTCATGGTATTCTTCTTGTGGTCCTCAGAATCCTGACCCTGTGGTCAAGCCAAGTTATATTTTCACCTTTCCCCAGACTATTCATCCAACCCCAGAATACTAATTCAGTGCAACAAACTCTAGGTATTACCTTATTCATTTAGACTGACAAAATGATAGGACTTAGAGATACAGAATCAAGCCACAGGACAAAAGAACCCAGTCATTAGGAGATGCTAATCCCCTTGAGCAAACAGCAGATTGAAAAAAAAAACCTGCACAGTTCCCAGTTGCTTTTTGTCCTCTCACGGTTTTAGTAGATCCCCTTTCTTCAATTACAGACAGCAGACACCATTTTCAAAGTATCACAAGCACCATACATTTCAAGAACTGTTTCACCTGTAAATACATTCTCTACTCTATACAGTATTGGCTGCTAAAGTGCCATGTAGCACCTTGATGCTGATACCTTGCTGCTAAGGAGCATAAACTGCACTTTGTCTTGTTAGGAAGTGTGGAAAACCAGAAGGAATTTTTCAGTCCTCTATATTTACCCATATTTAAAATATCTAAACATGGCCTGAAACTGCCTTTATTTCCCCCTCTCCACCCCATGTGGGTTGCGTTCTAACAAAACTACTGTAATGCAATTTTCCCCTCTCTAAGTACCAAGCACTGCTCTAATAAAACAGTGACATAAAACCACGTGGTTTGCTAATTTGTGGCACAAAATAAAAGGCCAGCTGAGTCGCAAGACAGAACTGTCATTTGAAATGAGAGCATAGGACAACCCTAAGGTGATTTGAAATTCAGGTTTATATTAGGCCTCATTAAGCAGTTCAGAGAAATTAATACATCTTTTTATTGCATCTTTTTTAATTTTTACCTCATTACCTTTACAGAATGAGGTACAGAAATACACAAATAAAAATACAGTATTTCTAAAGCACAAAATATTTTGATATTACATTCTTTCAAGTCTTATCATCTCTTGGCTATGAAAGTGGAAAAGGCAAGAACCTTCACGGTTCATTAAAAAAACCCCAAACGACAAAACAATGATAAAAAAATCTGGCATATGAGTTGGATGTTGCTTCCGAAATAATTTCAAAGCAGGCAGTCCCAAATATTCAGATAATTAAGAAGCAAGCTGCCAGTTGCCTTTTAGATAAGGATTATATTTATCATAAGATTGAAGCCAACTTACTTTTACAAACTGTAGTTTAAAGACAGATTTGCTCTATTCTGTCACCTTGGACCCAGTTATCAGAGGATCTCCATGCTGTCTGCGATCTATTGCCGCAGCTGCTGAGCTGGTGGAAAAGGCAAAGAATATTGTGCTAGGCCATTATCTCGTAGTCGCTGTTCCCCATGAGCTTGAACTTTTACTAACTAAATATGCAGAAAAAGCACTTTCTGCACAAAGGACACACAGATATGAAATGATCCTTTTGCTAACGGAGAATGTCAAACTTGAGAGATCAAAGACTCTTAACCCTGCTACCTTACTCCCAGTGACTGAACCTGAAAGATCGCACGACTGTGTAGCTGTCTTGAAAACTATAAGCAAGACTAGAGAAGATTTGAGGGACACGCCGGTGGAACACCCTGATTTGAATCTCTTTACTGACGGATCTTCCTTTTATCTTCACGGTAAGAGATTTACGGGCTTTGCAATAGCTACTGAAAAGTTTGTTCTCATCGCTGAACAACTTGCCACCGACATTAGGAGCTCAAGCTGCAGAATTGAGAGCACTAACCAAAGCAGCATTGTATGCTAAGAATAAACGAGTTAATATTTACACTGACTCGAAGTATGCCTATGGCATTTGTCATGCAGTCGGTGCATTGTGGAAAGAAAGAGGCTTTCTAACATCTGCAGGTAAAACCATTGCACATGGGTCTTTGATTAATGACTTGTTGTTGGCAATACAAGAGCCAAAGGAAGTTGCGGTAATTTATATACCTGCTCATACGAAGCGCACCGATCAGCTTGCGACAGGTAATGTTCTTGCAGATGCCGCAGCACGAGCCGCCGCTCCTAAAAATTACCCCACGACTGAAGTTGTGGTTGCTAATTTCTTTTCTATCCCAAACCCTGATACCCTTTATCATGATGTCCCGACCACCGAAATGGAAGAATGGAAGAAGATGCAAGCTGTGCAAGATAAAGGGATCTGGACCCTGAATGGTAAACCTCTATTGCCCAGAAGGTATGTACTGCCACTTGCCCGTTGGTACCATGAGAAGGGGCATGGAGGTCCCGAAGCAGTAGCCTCAAAGGTAACCCAGCTATGGGCAGCACCAGGAATCTCTTCAGCAGCTAAGAAACTGACTGAAGGATGTTCTTCGTGTAAGAGATATGGAGATATAAGGCCAAAAGTAACGCCAGGGAAGAGGCCGCCAGCAGTCTGTCCTTTTCAGAAACTTCAGATTGATTTTGCGGAAATGCCAGCCGCTCTCGGATAGAAATATTTGCTGGTAATAGTAGATCAACTCTCTGGGTGGGTAGAAGCTTTCCCGACCCGGAAGAACGATTCAAAAATAGTTGTAAAAATCTTGCTTAAGGAAATCGTTCCTCGATATGGCGTGCCTGAGGTGATAGACTCTGACCGTGGACCGCATTTTACAGCAGCTATTTTATTACAAGTTTATGTAACCCTAGACATCAAAGGACAGTTTCATACTCCGTATCACCCACCTTCATCAGGGCAAGTAGAAAGAATGAATAGAACAATTAAGGAGAAGTTAGCGAAAGTATGCAGTGAAACTGGATTAAAGTGGCCAGAGGCATTAAATTTAGTTTGATGGGATCTTAGAACTACTCCAAAGCAGCCGTTAGGAATTAGTCCAGCAGAGGTCCTATCTGGACGAATTTTAGCTGTACCTGGTTTGCATATTTCAGCAAAAACTGCACTACTGGATGGAGAGGAGAATGTCACTCAAGATTTATTATATTTACAAGATTCCTTTCAGAAAATTAGAAAATATGCATATTGGTACCAAGGTGCGACACCAGAAGTACAGGTTCATGATTCTAAGGTGGGAGATGAAGTGCTTGCTGGTAAAAACATTTAAACGAAAGAATAAGATGTTGCCAAAATGGGAAGTAAGCCATATGATGCAAATTGTGCAACGAGACAATGTATCATGGGGTGTTAGTGATTTATGGCAATGGGCTACTTCCTGGATTCCTGATTTTCCAACTTTAATCAAGAAGATTCTAATGGTAGTTGTTTTAGTCATAATCATTTGGATCATGGTAATGTTTGTGTGTCAGTGTTGTGTCTCGTGTTTATCTCGAATTCCCACCAGATCCTATTGTATCCGATAGGATAGCGAGTATCCTAAAAGAAAAGGGGGGACTGTTGGGAAAATGTTGCAATGCAGTGCTGCTGCACAAGCTGTTCTATCAGCTCTGTCCCCTGTATAGCCCCAGCCCAGGGCTGCAAGCACAGTCAACTGAATAGAGCATCAATAAAATGTTGTAACAAAGGTAATGATGGGCCTGACAGTTCAAAGGATGTTGATGTATGAGAAACTGACCCTTAGCTACCGAAGCGATGGGAGATCTATCATTGTGGCTACTAAGAACTGAGACGTACAGAACTTGAGGTAATCGTCCTTGAAGACTAAAAGAAAGAAGAAACAAAACAACGAAGTAGTCGGACTCCAGAACAAGATGTGGAACCCGCTGTCAAGATAAGAATGACTGATCAAGTATAATTCTGTGTATTTTGGATTAGGTAATGCTTTGTAGGTGCATAAATACATGTATGCGAACTCATGTAAGCTGTCACTCTCTGCGGAGGTGACCCAACGCTGCTGGACCTGAATAAAATCCTAGAGTAACCCACGACGGAGTTCGAGTCTCCTTTAACACCTGCCATGGGGCCCACACCCCCTCATCCCGCAGGCAGAGCGTTCAGCGGGAGTCTCTTGGGGGTGTCCAACCCCAGCTTCTGCCTCCCCTCCTGCTTGGAACCCCCCCTTACGTTGCACCCCCCCCCAGGAGAGGCCACCGTGCCCAGCACCTGGAACCAGTGACTCTGTGACATCAGCCCCGTTGCCGAGGGCACCGCGGGCAACAGGAGCACTGCGGGCACTGTGTCGGCTGCTGCGCTGGTGGTGAGGAGCCCTCCGGTCTTGCAGCTGCAGTGATGCATTCGCTTCCTTTCCTCGTCCTGCTGGCCACGTGCTGGGCTGCAGGCAGCACACGGGACAGCTGTGGGTGAGTGGCTCGAGGCTCTGGGAGGGAGCTCGGGCAACCCTTATGGGATTCACCGGAGGGTGCCCGCTTGTCCCCTTGTCCCCGCAGCTTCCCCCACGTGGGAGCCTCAGTTCCTTGCAGCACCCAGGCTGCTGGCACGGCCCATCCTCAGGGCTAACGCAGAAACAGGCTCAGATGGATGCGCCCCCCCAAGAGGGTTCCCTGGCCATGCTCTCCGGGCCTTGTGGGGAGGGAAGATGGCTGAGCTTCAGCCTGCACATCAGCAAGCCACAGAGCAGGATGGTAACGAGTTTCTGATTACAGAGGGACCTGCGGGCTCCGGCCCACGGCTTCTCAGCACGGCACGTCGCGCGTCGTCGGTGGCACAGACGCCCAGCCAGGCTCCTGGCCCTGGATTGTCAGCATCCAGGATCCCTGGGCGATAGGCACAGGACATATATGTGGAGGGTCCCTCATCAGCCCACAGTGGGTCCTCACAGCAGCCCACTGCTTCGTCGAGGCCAGGTAAGGAGGACCAGGGAACGGGGATATCCCCACGGCACTTGCAGATGCCCTGTCTGCGACACCGTGTGCTGCTCCCATACCGTTCCCTTGCAGTATGCCCAGTGCCTGGGCACTGCAGAGCCCCGCTCGGAGACTGCTCAGGAGAAGGCTGGGCTCGTGCCACTGCTTCCTAGCAGCCTCCAGCTTGACATGCCTCCAGCCAGAGGCATGCTAGGGCACTTGCACCCTCCACAGTGCTGCTTTCCCCTCTCCCTTGCCAAGCAGAAAGCAGAGAACTGCTGGGCTGCTGGGTGCATGGCTCCACTCCCTTTGATCCCTCTCTCGATCTGCCTTCCAGGTACATCACCATGTGGCGCGTGGTGATCGGAGCCACCCATTTGTCTCAGCTGGGCCCTGACACCCAAGTGCGCCATATTAAGCGGCTACTGGCTCACGAGCACTACACTAGTATCACAGAGGAGAATGACATTGCCTTGCTGGAATTGGACCAGCCTGTCCAGTGCAGCTACTCCATACAGCTTGCCTGCGTGCCTGACGCCTCGCTGAGAGTGTCAGAGCTGAAAAACTGCTACGTCAGCGGTTGGGGGTCCACAGCTGCAAGATGTGAGTTCCCAAAAAGTGCTCGGGTCCCGAGTGCAAGCCTGGCACGTTGGGGGAGATGGGCTGGGCTTCCTGACAGCAGAGGCGAGAGCCAGGGTCAGACTGCAGGGACATATGCCTGTAGAGAGATGGGCCTGGCACGCTACCCAAAGCAAGACAGAAATGAAACACTGGTACAATGCCTGTCATGATGCAAAGCCGAGCCCTAGGGAAAAGGGAGGTTCACCCAGGCAAGGGAGGAGAACTGGCAACGAGCTGCTGGGTGTTCATTCCTTTCTGTGCTCACAGCTGGAAGACCAACTGATGTCCTGCAGGAGGCCAAGGTCCGGCTCATCGACGTCAAACTCTGTAACAGCACCCGGTGGTACAGTGGGGCCGTCCACCCCCACAACCTGTGTGCTGGCTATCCGCAGGGCGGCATTGACACCTGCCAGGTAGGAGCGTGCGATGGCTTGTCCCCAGCAGCACAGACAGCCCTGTCACCACTGCCCAGACTCCGGCATGTGCTGTGACAGAGGAGGAGCCAGCCCCTGTGTTGCCACTGGCCACCCAACATCGCCTTAATCCTCTGGTCTCCACTGCAGGGCGACAGTGGTGGTCCTCTTGTTTGCAAAGATACCAGTGCTGACTACTTCTGGCTAGTTGGAGTCACCAGCTGGGGGAAAGGCTGTGCAAGAGCAAGACGGCCCGGAGTCTACACCTCCACTCAGCACTTTTACGACTGGATCTTGGTACAGATGGGGCTGCACCCAGCACTAACGGCTGCTCCAACACCACAGCCAGTCTTCACACCACAGCCAGTTTTCACTTCAACCCCCTTTCAGAAGCCAAGTCCAGTACCAACGCAAGAGAGCGGCTTTACATCCTGTCTATTTCCACGCCAGAAGCTGGTGGAATTCTTTAATCTGCTGCAGGAGCTCCTGCAGGTCCTAAGAGGAAAAAAGGCTTGAGTAGCCAGATGAATGGGATCCAGTGCAGGCTGCAGTGTACCATGACCATTCCCTTCTGGGGCAATGCCTGCTGATCCGATGGCAGCCTCAGTGTCAAAGGCCTCTTCTGTCCTGTCCCTGCTCACAAATGCTAGAGTACACACAAATGCTTAAGTTGCCTTAGTTCCTGAAATAAAGTTAACAGTTTTCACAGCTAACCATGCTCCAGTGCAATTCAGTCACCTGTGCAAAGCAAGGACTTCCATGGCTGGCTGGTCCCTGCCAAATGAGGCTGCAGGCAGCTAAGTGGGGCACAAAGGGAAGAGTTGCTCAAAAGGCCTGAATCCCTGTCTGGCCACAGAGGAGGGGGATGGTTCAGTGTAAGAAAGGAACATGGGTGATAGGGGGCAAGAGGTCTTGGGACAGCAGTTGGAAACACAAAGTGTCTTTGGCCGGCTACTGGGGGGATCCCTGTGTGTGTACAATGCACCAGTGAACCTCAGACTGGACTCTCTCATGACACAGGAGATCTAGAAAGACCCAACGTTTGCACCAATGACTGGCTAAGGAGCTTGACATCCAGCCACAGATATTACATGGACTCGATTTCCAGAGTGTTGCTTGAGGAATCCATGCACACGCTGTGCTTATGAATCTAGGGAATGAAGTTGTGGTTCACTAGCAAACATCCAGTCCTGATCATATGGAAAGGCAGAAAAGGAGCGGCCTGTGTTCACATTTATGTAAGTGGTGGTTACAAAGACCTGGGTGCCGGTAAAGGCGTTACTCTGTCTATGTCAATCTGTTTTGCCGGTTGCATTATTGGTGTAAATCTGTGTGTGTGTGTCTGCATCTGGCTCTTTGGAATGCACCATAAGTCTTCTGAACACACACACACACGTGAGGACAGCAGCAGCCACAAGGCTGGGCTGGGAGAAGCCTCCTGGGAGCGAGAGTCCACTGGATTCAGCTCTAGCAGACCTGAAAGGAGAAATCCCCTGTGTTCAGAAGTCTACTGAATCTAGCTGCTCTGTAACAGAATGGGGAAGGAAACCCAAAGAAACTCTGCAGCAGAGATCACAGGGGTGGGCAGAGAGGCAGCACTGGCGAAGCTGTGAAAGCAATGGGGCGGGCTGGCAGTTGGGTTTGTACTGTATAGTAACTAGACTGCCTTATAACGAAAGTGCAGGAAGAATGCAAGCTCAAAGCTGTATAAAAAAAAATGATGTAGTGTTTGTTTTCTCCAGTATGTACCATTAAAGCATCTGAGCAGGACCCTTCTCTGCAGGTCCAAGAGTGTCCTAGCTCTCCTGGAATGCTTTGCCTTGATAACTAGCAACCATGGGGATGCTCTTGCCCTTTCTTTGACCGTGATGTGCAGTGGCCTGCACCAAGTCAAGGAAGGTCATGCCCAGACAGTCTCCCACAAGAAGGGGAGAGGCCCAGCTGCCCATCACCAGAGCTCTCGGGGCATGAGAAAAATCACTTTCCTCTCTGAAGACCAGCTCTAACTAGCCCCAGAAATCTAGAACAAAGGGAAAACACAGACTCAGGGTCCAGGGCTTAGACAGATGGGGGCTTCTCTTCTCTTTATCCGACAAATTCCCGCTCCTCTTCTGCAGGTCAGAGCTCTGGAGAGGAGCAGGACATGAAACTGCTGAGAAGCATGAAAGCAACAGCTACACTCTGCTGTGGTTCTTTCAAATTTGCTCTAGGGCAGCATGGGCTCTTCAGAGGGTCACCACCTCACCCCTTCCAACCTAGACACGAGCAGCACAGAAACCCCAGGCTGTCACCAGCAGAAGACAAATCTTTCCATGCCTGTAGAGTTTCACCCTTTGCCACAGGCTTTGCTCTGCCTGCGGGAAAAAAGAGCAGAGCTGCTAATCACTTAGGAGGAGTGCAGTAAGTAGAGCCTTTCTTACCTCCAGTTCTTCCATGACTTTGCCCATGAAATTCTCTTTGTAAGCATCTGCTGGTTTGATAGCATCATTGGAGAGCTGATGAGAAGGAGAATGCTTGTCACAAACTAAGGGGCACTGGGTTTCTCTAGCATATGGAAACTGTTCCCACATCCCAAGAAAAAAAAAAAAAAAAAAAAGAAATGAACACCTCTGCAACTACCTATAGCTACCAGGACTTCGTGAGTAGCCAAACAGACATACTAGCCCATTTTCTGCTCTGTGCCTACAGCAGTCCCCGTGTCCTTGGACTGTATAGGGGTCTCATGCCTGTTGGGCCAAATAGATATGTTTTACCTTCACTACATTGGCGCCACCTGCGGCAAACACAAAGTAAGAGCGCAAACAGACTCCTGGGCAAAGCTGAAGCTTTTCTGGGTCACCTGCCTATCAGCTGGGGGCAAAAAAAGGAGAAGTGCTCAGTAAGACATCACCGTAGGCAGAATGCCAACATATTCAGGAGTGGTGGAACACTTGGAGCCCAGAGCCCGATTTAGCTGTCAAAGGCTCCTCACTGTAGTACAAGGCTAGGAGAGTCTTCCCCAAAAGCTATAGGGTTTTAAAAGCAACAGCATCAGCAAGCCATTGATAAGAAGATACAAAAAGAAAAGAGTTCTTGTTGGTTTACCCATGGTACATTACAGATGGATTCTGATGTGCTGTAAATGAGCAATGCTTTGCAGTTATCAATGCATTTGCTGTGCAGCAACTATGAATGTTTTCCAGGCACATCCCTATGATTTTTCCCGTGTGTCCACATGACCTAGACATCATTGCCAGTACTAGTCATGCCTCTCCCTCCAGTTTGGCCTTTTTAACTAGAGGTCCCCACTGCCCTTATTCCCTGTTACCTATATTCCTGTGAGTCAAGGGCATGTTCACAGTATACAAATGACTCGGCTGTTACGTATTTTTACTTAGCAGGCAGTTAGGTCCAGCTACCCCAACCTCAGTAGGACAGAGGCTTTATTTCAGTTTTAGAACAAATCTACTGCATCTTTACAGGATGTGCTGGCACAGCAGTAACAGCTCAAAGTTTGGATAGGCAGATAGCCTGTGTGCCAGCACAGGAAGATGACTCCAGATGATCCACCCGTTCCCACAGACACCACAGCTGAAGTAGTTCAGATTCCAGCTGCTTACCAGTGAGCCCTGCCGAGGCAGATGCTCTCCACCTCTCTGCAGGAACTTGGATCAACTGTTCTGCAGCCTGGGCCTGTTCATTCCCTAGTCCAGGTGGAATACAGCAAATGAAGGCAAGGCAGAGGACTCTCGGAGCAGTGTCCAATCACACATAGAACACTAAGAGACGGATTCATCTACGCAGAGGTTCTGTCTACAATAGGACTGCCAATACCAAGTCCATTTGCCTCAGACTTCCTGTACAGCCTGTGCAATCAATGCATTCAAGGCTGACCTGACACATCCTAGAGGAAAGGCTTTTATTAGGTAAGCTCAATCATGCCCTAAACCCCACCCCTGAACCAAATGAACTTCCCTTGACTACAGTGGGAGCCCAGATATCTCATTCAGGTGGACACACCCAGTCATAGCTGCAATGATTTCTACCATGAATGTCAGCAAGGAAGCCCATGTCTGACAAGGTACTTGACAGAGAATAGCAGGAGGCTGGTCCTGAGGGCATCTGTTCCCCCGTAGATGCTGAGCAGAAAGCTGATACATTATGGGCTCTCACAGGATGCAGGAGACAGATCACAGCCCAAATGACAGCTAAACACACCCAACTACACAGGTTTTATCTGGTGAGAGAAAAACGAGCAATATAGGAAAGCTTTTTAAACCACAGGAAAAGACAAGACATAGAAGTTGGTGTAATCAAGAATAAAAAGTAACATACAGGCCACATGTCAGCTGGGACTATTATTAGCTAAAATTCCCTCAGCTAAGAGCTGCGACACTACCCTTACTATGCTACAAGCATGCGTGCTCTGGAACCTGTCCTGTCCAGATGCACCCCAGCAGTCTGTACAACACACACACAAAAAAAAAATTAGAATGACACAATTTCCCAAGTCCTGTTTTCCTCGCAGTTGAAACCCGGGACACAAATCTCAGTCCATCTAGTCAGGGTGACGAACTTAGGTTTCACCTCACTAGTCTGAAACGTTCCAGGGCTGAGACCGTGCAAAACTAGGACCTTTTCTTAGCTAGGTTTAGCTATGAGTTCTGCAGACACTGAACACTGCTATAACCATATTAATAAAAGAGAAGTCATCAGTAGACGTGACTTATAAAGGACAGTAAGACAAAGCTAGTCAGAAGTGCAAAAAGTGGTAACAACATATGGTACTTTGTCACTAGAGACGACAACAGGAAACAAAATCTAAACATCTTGAAACAGCTTGATTTCTGACACAGTGATAAACAGCCAGGTGCCTGCCACGGGAAATGTTCCATCTCCTTTCGCAGACAAGAATGGCCTTGGGAGGGGAAGCATTCCTCCAAACTGCCCAGGCAGGGGAAGGGAAGGTGATCTCCACTGCAGTGTTCATTCTCTTCAGGTCCCATCAAAGCACACTGGGATTTTGACCAGTTAAGGTAAAAAGCTGTGATTCATGGTATTCTTCTTGTGGTCCTCAGAATCCTGACCCTGTGGTCAAGCCAAGTTATATTTTCACCTTTCCCCAGACTATTCATCCAACCCCAGAATACTAATTCAGTGCAACAAACTCTAGGTATTACCTTATTCATTTAGACTGACAAAATGATAGGACTTAGAGATACAGAATCAAGCCACAGGACAAAAGAACCCAGTCATTATGAGATGCTAATCCCCTTGAGCAAACAGCAGATTGAAAAAAAAACCCTGCACAGTTCCCAGTTGCTTTTTGTCCTTTCACGGTTTTAGTAGATCCCCTTTCTTCAATTACAGACAGCAGACACCATTTTCAAAGTATCACAAGCACCATACATTTCAAGAACTGTTTCACCTGTAAATACATTCTCTACTCTATACAGTATTGGCTGCTAAAGTGCCATGTAGCACCTTGATGCTGATACCTTGCTGCTAAGGAGCATAAACTGCACTTTGTCTTGTTAGGAAGTGTGGAAAACCAGAAGGAATTTTTCAGTCCTCTATATTTACCCATATTTAAAATATCTAAACATGGCCTGAAACTGCCTTTATTTCCCCCTCTCCACCCCATGTGGGTTGCGTTCTAACAAAACTACTGTAACGCAATTTTCCCCTCTCTAAGTACCAAGCACTGCTCTAATAAAACAGTGACATAAAACCACGTGGTTTGCTAATTTGTGGCACAAAATAAAAGGCCAGCTGAGTCGCAAGACAGAACTGTCATTTGAAATGAGAGCATAGGACAACCCTAAGGTGATTTGAAATTCAGGTTTATATTAGGCCTCATTAAGCAGTTCAGAGAAATTAATACATCTTTTTATTGCATCTTTTTTAATTTTTACCTCATTACCTTTACAGAATGAGGTACAGAAATACACAAATAAAAATACAGTATTTCTAAAGCACAAAATATTTTGATATTACATTCTTTCAAGTCTTATCATCTCTTGGCTATGAAAGTGGAAAAGGCAAGAACCTTCACGGTTCATTAAAAAAACCCCAAACGACAAAACAATGATAAAAAAGTCTGGCATATGAGTTGGATGTTGCTTCCGAAATAATTTCAAAGCAGGCAGTCCCAAATATTCAGATAATTAAGAAGCAAGCTGCCAGTTGCCTTTTAGATAAGGATTATATTTATCATAAGATTGAAGCCAACTTACTTTTACAAACTGTAGTTTAAAGACAGATTTGCTCTTTTTTATGGAGGTTCTGTTTATTCTTTCTTAGTCATTGCCTCTTATAATACCGGTCAACTCCTTAGTTTAGGGCTTAAGCCATGACCTTTATACAACACAGCAATAAAACATGCATTTGTAAATGCTTATGGCTTATCAACAGGGCCTCATTAGCGGAAATAATTTAATTTGTTCATTAGTCCCTAAAGAGCCATATGCACCTTCTCTGACAGCATAGGATTTGCTGACTGTGGTTTGTTCATTTGCAAAAAATTTCCACTCAGTATATTTATATAGTAACCATCACGGTCTAAAAATCAAATTTAAAGCAAAGCAAACCAAAATATTTTACTGAGATAAATGAGTGGGTTTTTGTTGGTGGTGGTGTTTGTTTGTTTTTGTGCGTGTTTCATCTGTTTTGTTTTGTTTTAAATTAACTTTTGGGAAGGTAACATGTAGAAAAAACAACTTTATATTCACCAGGAGATTTGGTGCTGTGAGGCTAAGCAAAAAGACATCTTGCCAAGCCCAGTGTAATAATTCTGC